ATAATCTATAGACAATTGAATAGCGTCTGGAAAAAAAGTTTGTTCAAAACGATGATTGCGGTTAAAGCCCACCGTGTATACACTTGCTGAAATGAGATTAGATGTAAACAGTGTTGTGATCACGAACTGTTGAAAGTGAGCCAGAGTTGTGCCTGTTTTATAATTACCAGGCTCACGTGCAGCGATATGATCATAACAGAGGGTCCAAACACCAATCACAAAGCAGTATTTCTTATAAAACTTTCATATCATTTTTCTTTCTTTGTCTCTTATCAAAACATAAATGAAGTATATTGGCTCTCAACGAGTATGTTGCTTTTTTCACCCTTGAAAACTTGTTTTAAATATGAAAATTTATTTATAAAAAAATTAATGGTTAATTTGAATTATGTGTGCGATATTTTCTTTTAAATGCAAATGTTTGTGACATCATGTGAATATTTCACGCTAATATTTTTGTTGTCCAGGAGGGAACACGAGAGCCCACTTAGGACGGTGGTAAATCCCTTTATAATAGTAACTCTGTCAAAAAGCCGGCAACTCGGGAAGATAGTGAAGAGTATTTTCCCCTTGGAAAAAAAATAGAGAAAAATGTGCGGAATGAAAGCGGATTTAGCAACGGTTAGGAAAAAATATCTCCCGTACTGGTATGGAGTGAGTGGCCCGGAGGACAAGGGGGTGTGCCCGGTAAATACAGTGAACGGTGAAAAGGGGGTGCAGGGTTGGCATAAATAGAAACTCCGGGACACGAGGGCACCCCCTAAGCATTTGGCATGAGGCCATGCCACCCCCGCAGGTTTTACCTGTACCGGGCCAGATGAGAGGAGACGACATTTCACTGCCCTCCTGCTCCCGACACACAATTGTTGGAAAAGTCTACTGACAATTGCAACAATTTGCCAACGAGAGAATGCCGATTTCCAATCGCCCAATAGAGTGACTTATTTTGTAATTGCTCTTTAACTATTTCTGTGCATTGTACCGATAAGAAAAGAATTTTAATTTAAAAATCAGTTCTCTTTATCACATGTAATAAAGTATTAATATTGTTTTAATAGATACAGAGGTACGATGGTTTAAGGGGAAAAATGTATTTTCTCTCTAACGTTCGGATATTATTTGAACGTTGTTGGATGTACATTTCTGATTATTAAATTCAGTTTTCTTTTGCACCTATAATTTAATTTAAGGCTTTAATTTAAGCATCGCAAAAGTAGATTAGCGCATAACGTTATTTATTAAAAAATGAATTTAATCCATGTTAGAAATTGTAGATTTTAAAAAAGTAATAAATAAAATGAATTAATACATACAATGCAAGAAAATTTTAGATTAAAAAAAATTAATTTATAAAAGAAATTTTTTTATAAAAGATTTTAATCTAAAATTTGTTTTTATAAGTTAACATTTTTTTACACACCAGACCGCATTTTTTTTTTTTTTTTGCGCGAAAGAAGTTATTTGGTCAATCGGACCACAAAATATAATGGGTTATTTCCTTTTATTTGTCAGTAAGAATATTTTTAAAGAAATAGAAAAAGAAGGCTTAAAAGGAAAATGTATTTTATCTCTAGCTTTCGTCATTATTTGGCCAACGTTGGAGCTATCTGATGATGAATTTGTACGTTTTCTTAAAAGTTTGAATATATCATTAAATAATTCAAGTTTACTTGTAAAATCGAATGATATTGTACACCTAAAAACAAAAACAGGTTAAAGAATAATTTTAAGAATAGCTATTAATTTTTACGGTAATTTCATCTAGGATTGCTATAAATAGAAAAGGAGTAGATTTCCAATAAAACGTTGTTTCGGGAGATTCTTTAGCTTTTTTTTACTTGAAGGGAACACGTTTAAAAGCGAAGGAAATAATCGTTTAAACCAACAGCTTACAAAAGGAGAAAAAGCCCCGAGTAAAGGGGGGAATATGATTGTGTTGGAAGTCGTGGTGTTTCAAGAGGTGGTGTTCTAAAGGATTAAGATCCTGGAGAAAGGGGCGAAGACTTGGTCGGATGCTGCCATGAATAGCGCCGGAAGCCCAGGGATGGGGGATAAGGATTCAATGCCTCCCTGAGTTACTGGTTCACAGCTTCCGGTCACTCCAGGATCCCCTCAGTCGAAAGTCGCCACACAAATTCTCTTCTATCTCTGTAAACACAGTTGACAAATGTTTTGCTAACGTCCCCCCCCCCATAATACAAAAAACGTGGACAATAAGAATTCTTTTATACTGAAAACAATATTCGTTAAGATTTATTCTTTATTTTATTGATATCATATTTTGAGAAGTAGTCAAAATTTATTAAAGTTTATATCGGTAATGGAAGACTTGAAAAAAGAGATATTTCATGCTGATTCATCATGTATGGATATCGGTTATGCAATGAAATATCTCATAACATTCTGCCGACTAAAATTGCGTGGGGTAAAAATCACTACTTAATCTGGACAGGTTACGACCCACAGCGTAGGATTGACTTGGAGCCAATAAAGCCCTCGGTCGGTGCAATTCTTATGGAGCCGAAGGGCAGTTGGCAGTGTCCGCTGGCGCCTTGCCACCCTCTCTCATATCCATATCTGATATTCTCAGGCCATCTCCAACCCCATATTTAGAAGGATATGAACCTCCCTCGGAATGACCCTCGTCCATTATGTTTAATGAAAACCAAAAGGGTCCATTTATTGTTTTGTTTGCTTTCGAAGGCCATTTGTTAACTTTTTTGGTCAGTTTTTAATTCTACATTAACAGTAAATCACTGGTTTCTTGTTATGGTCAGCTAGAGCTTTTAAATTTAAATTATACACACTGCAGTCTATAGATTATTCTGTTTCTTTCTTATTTTACTCTCTCTCTCTCTCTTTCTCTCACACACACACACACACACACACACACACACACACACACACACACACACACACACACCGAAATTCTGCATTCTAATCATAATTCTATTCAGGCACCCTGACACTTCCAACAAACAAACACTTTGAAACCAAAACTATTAAAAAACTTGGAGGACAAGATTGAAAGACACAAAATGCACACAGTGTACATTTATACTAAAAAACAGTAATGTCCTCCATTGTACGTCAGACGTCCTTAGACACTTTACCAAAATTGCCTACTACATCACTAATGTCACTATACAAAATTCAATATTTGTTTTACCAACGAACTGATACAACTCGCATCCAAAAGTTTCACACTAAGCTCTCGATCTATTGCCAAAAGGCCATCTCTAAATTTTTTTCACTCCGAAAAATTGCTTGGTTGCTTTAAAGTGACTGGTTTCAATTAGCGTATGTCCTCCGGGGACATTGCTAGCCATAGTATCAGTGTTGGGACTGGGAGAAAAAAACATATACACAAATGTTTGTAATATGTATTTTGATTTTTACAGACTAGGAATATTATTTTTAAAAAATATGTAGCATCGATTTCTATGAAGAAATAATAAAAATGAACGAATACGTACGTATCTTCTCATACCACGTAATATGAATATTTTCATTTTCTCTTTGGTATGTAGGACTCCCTTTTCGATCTCTGTTTCCAGTCGAATTGAGACCAAATATTTCCCTCCCCTTTACTCCGGCATTCATAGATGAAACGGCGCCTGGATTTTGATTATTAGGATGGATAGGAACTGTGTGACTAATACCACTATGGGTGGGTCGCCTCTTGTCACAAGTCAGACGTGAAATACAGAATGACTCGTATCCCGCAAAACAGTTTTACCCAACCTTCAGATTGCCTTTGGAGGCCATCTAGGAAATAAGAGGCCAAGGGGATCAAATTGAATTATCCGCCAATGATGCGAAGGGGAAGTAGGGCTATTACATTATGGAGGAGTGATACCTTGACCCTCCGATACCACTAGTTCTAATTTCCTTTAATGTACTTTCTCTTAGTCATCGACCGTTTACGGATTTCATACCGCAATCCTACCCCAAACTAAACCCCTGGGTTTTCTGATATCTAATTAGTTTTCTTAGCCATCATCATAAACTCCGATCTTTCATAACTCTGGGCGCATAGTTCGAGAATTAATGTCATGAAGCCAGACATCTTCTGTATGTAATGTAATTAATCGACATAATTTTCTCTAGAGAAATTCTGCCGATACAGCTGATTAGTTAGAATAACTACAAGAACAGGGCTTTTCAACAATAAAGGTCATCCTTATAAAGTTGTAATATTTCAGGAAAATATACCAACTTAATTTATTTTTAAGTGGAATTTTCAATGTTATACTTTCGTAACCAATATGACGAAAGTCTGAATAAAATGATTTAACTACCATTACAAGAAAACCTTCATTTTGGTAGTATCAGATCATCTTGCTCTGCTCAGGTAGTTGCAACATTTCCAGTACACTATTGGCACACAGACTAATCACTAGAAATGGTAAAAATAATCAAACGAAATTGAAAGTCAATTAACTTAAAAGCATTAAGCTCTCAATATAAATAGTATCACCCTCGAATACTACCCAATTTCCCCTTGAGTATTGCCAATTATTTTATTGGAATATCCCTGCCTGACCATAAGGTTTGAATAAGGTGATTTAAAAATGACCAACTCAACAGATTTTTGTCGAAATAAAAACACTGGTTCACTTACACGCTGGTTATGTTATTGAAGTACAAGATTAAATATATACTAAAATAACATAGCGAATAAAGTGTGGTGATTAGTGATCATTAGCCATTGATTATTTAGGATCGTGAGGTGCGGTCTGGTGTGACATAGGTTTTAGAAAAACATTTTCTTTGTCATGCAACGTTTCGATCTTTATTGAGATCATCTTCATATAAATCCCAGACCCTGAAGATGACCTCAATAAAGATCGAAACGTTGGCATGATAAAGAAAATGTTTTTCTAAAACCTACACCAGACCGCAGCTCACGATCTCCAAATAATCATAGCAAATAAATTGTTTAATATTGGTTATTTTTTAACCTGTTTATTAATAATTATTCTGTTTTTATTTTACAGGCGTTTGACTGCCGGAACCATATTAGAGTAATCCAGTCCATTGGCGATGGGGAGAGACTTTACGTCTGCGGAACCAATGCTCACAACCCTAAGGATTGGGTTATTTATGTAAGTATTCTTTTGATTTTTACAAAGAATAAAAGAAGGATCCATAACAAAACCACTCAGGTACATCACTAAACGCACTAAACGGTTTGCCCTATCTGATTATATTTTGCCTTTTTCCATTCGGCTTTGTCGACAACGGCGATAACAATGAAACAAACTCTTTTTCCCCCGAGTAAGACTGCAGTTCTCCTTGGGAATTGCCAATTATTTTTAGGAGAATTTCACTCCTGCCCGTTGCCATATGTTTCGGGTAAATGGTACGGAAGAAATCTAAATAAGAGCTGATCCTACATAAAATTTCATGTCCCCTGAGCATTGACTGCAGAGGTAGAGGCAATTTGTAGAAGTAACTTGCCGGTAACCGTTCCACGGCGTATCCTGGGACGTTTTAACAATGCGGCATTACCGTTTCCTTTTAGGATCGTTTCGACTCGAAAGAAACAAAGGTGAGATGTTTGTAAGACGATGTTTCTTTAAATATTGTTGTTATTTATTTATTTTTGCAATTCAAACGTTACACGAGATAAATTTTTTTTATTCCACCACGATTTTACCATATTGGCTTCTTCAAAGATCAAACAGTAGAGTTTTTTTACACATGTCAGTTTTATCTCCGTCCTTAATATTTCAGCCCTTCGTCAAAGTCCTGATCCGTCGGTTTCCCATTACGGAAGTAACAAAACTCTCTCGTTTAATTTTTCTCTTCCGTCTCTTTTTTTGAAAAATTAACGAGTCCGGTTTTATTTTTACAATAAAATCCTATTTGCTTCTGGGCAAAGTGCTGTGCAAGAGGAAGGTTTGCATTAAAAATTACAAGACGCCACTGAACCATAAACACCTGAATGGGCATTACACTCCGACAGGTAACGTCCCTATAAACAAAGCCTTTTGCCCGTTGCGAAAATACCAGGAGAACTACTTTTTTTTTGTTCTACACCTAAATATTCCATTCGTTTCGTTTTACTGTTACAAGGGCTCTCGGAATTTTTATTGGCGGCGCTCTCGGATAAATGGTCCGTCTTCATTCCTTAACGAAATTCTGGCTATAATGAAAGCTTGCTTTGCGACTTTTATATATCCGTCTGATACCTTTACCTCACTTACTTTTTACAGCTGAGCAGTATAAAAAAACCTGTGGGGCGGAGGCATTACACATTAAACGTTACGCTAAAGGGAATGAACACTGTTTTACAGTACCGCACCTTGAATTTTATTTTACTACAAAAAGACAGTTTCTTACAGTTATAAATATCCCAAAAAGCCGGAATAATGTGTTATTTATTGAGCCTAATGTTTCGGAATATTTTTGTGACAATCCCTTTCATGTAAAATTCCTTATTTCCCACAATTTCTTCAATTTATAACATTTATGAAGAAGACTTGATGGATAAACATTTTTGATATAGGCTCACCATAAACCTTCCCAACAAAATGTGAACTTAAGTGATTATACATTTTCCCAAGGAAGATTGGTAGGGGTATTCACGATCTTTATGTTAACCCTGATCGAGAAAAATGATGACGTAGATTTGTAAGAATCGGCTAGTTAACGTTGCTCGATCTAACAGGCCAGGGCCAATGTTAGATGTTAAATCGAACATGTAGTCACATTGCTAGCCGTTAGGGCATAGGTAACCAAAATGGTAGCCATGAATTTAACAGCTGTTTTTTGTTTAGACGTATTTTTATTCTTAAATACGCATAAATTAAATCATACCAACACATTTCATTTGTTAATTTCTGACCCGTCCTTATACTCTCATTCATAATAGATACATCCCTTATCCTATAAAGTTGTAGGCTGTTAGACCTTGGGATGTCGGCACGAATTGAAGCGTGTCATTTGTTAGTGCTTTTCGAGTCCACAGTTAGCATTTTGAATGAAAGAGTTGATTAATTTTCCTTTTTTATTAACTTCTGGCATCTTACAATTTAACACAAAAGAAAACCAAAACAAACAACAACAAGCCTTCAAGGACTGTTATAGCTTTAATTTTGGTTCTAGCACCGTCACGCACAGCATTGCGGAAAAATTACAATTTAACATGCTAAGAAAAGAAGGGGGCGTTCACGATCTTACTGGACATTTCTCTATTCGAGTTAACACGAGTCTCTAGTCAAAAAACAACTTGAATATCCCTATTATCTACTAAAGAACGGGAATCTTGGTTACTATAAACACAACAAATACTGGGAGCAATAGGCAAAGAATAAAGCTACACGCAAAAACAACCAAATGGGAAAAAATCCTACTCACCAGACAGGATTTAAAAATTCTAACTTGTGTAATTGCAGGACATGCGTCATTTTCGTACCCCCTAAAAGACTATAGTCAGATGACTAATGGATTGTCTTGAAGGGAGGCTGACAACTGAGCATATCTTGCACAACTACCCTGCAATAACTATGAAATGTTATGATACTTGGGAAAAACATTCTTGAGTATGCAGAATTCAATACCATTCCTCTTTGAAAATATATTTTACTTCATAAAAGCACGAAAACCTTACAGAAAATCCATTAGCAGATACGGTACAATAGAATTCTATATGGATGAAAAAAAAAAATTACACATTTTTATAATAATAATATCCAATTTTTTTTCCATTCAAAACCTTCAAGATGTTGACAATTTAACTGAAGATTGTGATCGACTTTTTTTTACTTAATCCAAGAGTACCAACTGGAAATAACGTTCCTTCTCATCAACTATGACAGTTGAAATAAAAACAATTCATTTCTCCATTTCGCATAAAATAATTACACATACGGGCTTTTTTCCTTGTATGGCAATGTGATGAAAAATCCACATTTAGCTTTGGATAGGGGCTGACAGAGCTTTGAAACATTTTGAACGTATTTTTATCTCCTGTCGGACCTTTCTATGCATTTCACTTCTATCTAGGGCAGAAAAACACAGTTAACCCGATATCAAAAGCACAAGATAATTACGATTTTCTGGCAATATAACAACATAGGGGTATTCTTCGATTGTACCCTGACGAATGTTTTATTTTTAAGTCATAATAAATACACATTGTAGGGATAATGTACACATTTGCATATATGAGATTATTTATTATTATGTTTCGTTCGTAACTGTAAATTAATAGTATTAAAACTTAGGGAAATAATATAGGGGTATTCTTTACCCATAACATAAATCATAATGTCTTCATATTTAATTTATTTAAAAAATACGGGAAAAAACAAAGAACTATTGACTTTTAAAAAAAGGAGGGGTTTAAACATTAATTTGTTAACTTTGACGTGGCGACTGATTACCGTAAGGGTACGGGGTTCGAATCCCATTTCAATTTGAACGCATAGTTACAATATTTTCAGCTTCCGAACTACCGAATGTAAGAATTTTTTTTTACTCCAAAATCAAATTCCACTCGCATTTTGCTTTTCAGCCTTTCTGAACAAATTTGGTTCCGTGTCTGTCTGTCTGTGGTCTGTCCTTGTAACCGGCAAAGCTCCGAAAACATGTGACCAATTTTTATGAAATTTTCAGAAGTAGTACGGTATAACAAAATAGAGAATACAAAAAAATGATAATCCTCATTTTTAATAACGGGTTTACTTAAGAAAAATGAACATGAAGATACTCATTTTGTAAACAAACACCTATTCTCGTCTTTTCTCTATTTTAATCCAGTTGTATTATCTTTAATTATGGAAAATAATCATCTTGAACCAGAAGTGAGCAATATTATTGTGAAGATGAGTCACCTGGGTCAACAGCAAGTCAGCAACAGCCCGCCACCAGCAACTCAGGAGAATATGGTGCAGCGAGCGTCTAGAAGAGTACAGCAATTGGAATGCTGTTATGTTTACCGATGAGTCGCGTTTTCGTCTGTATAGTGTTAGCAGAGGAAACGCAAAGATAAAAACGCGACTCACCAGTAAACATAACAGCATTCCATTAGTTGTTCTCTTCTGCCTGCTCGCTGCACCATATTCTCCAGAGTTGCTGGTGGCGGGCTGTTGCTGTTGATCGTCTCAAAGGGGCATACGATGTGAGGCCAACAATAAAATGCTTTGATAAACGTTTTGCGAGAATTTTTACTTTAATTAGGATCTGGCGGGCACTATAGAAAGGGTTCCGTCTGGTAGCAATGACAATATTTCTGTCCTAACTTAGCGTAGTATGCGCTTAGATCCTCCACCTCCTATTGGCACTTTCAGTCTCTCGGAATCAGGCTAAAGCACGGGAGACTACGCTCTGACACGCCAACTGCCTGCGATATCAACTTGTCGGTGACCTCAATGACTCATTCTCACAATAATAATGCGAACTTTTGTTTTAAAATGAAGTATTTCCATGGTTAACTAGAACTGGATTCAAATGGAGAAAAGACGAGAAAAGGTATTTATTTTCAAAATGAGTAATGTGTGGTGTTTTGTAAATTAATGATGTTTGGAGATCGTGAGATGCGGTCTGGAGTAAGTAGGTTTAGAAAAGCATTTTCTTTATCGGGCCAATGTTTCGATCTTTATTAACATCATCTTCAGGGCTCAATAAAGATCGAAACAATTAATTAAGGTTTTTTTAGTTGAGATAAAAAAGTCAATGGCACGAGCGGGATTCGAACCCACGATCGTCGGCTTGATACGCCGCTGCTCTACCACTTGAGCTATCGTGAACTCGATCCACTCGGACACCAACTTCCCATCTCAACCGCACCTTTTGAATTTTCCCTCCTTTTTGCCATTTTTCAAATGTCGTGTAATCGGATTGCTGTCCGAGTGGATCGAGGTCACGATAGCTCAAGTGGTAGAGCAGCAGCGTATCAAGCCGAAGATCGTGGGTTCGAATCCCGCTCGTGCCATTGACTTTTTTATCTCAACTAAAAAAAAACCTTAATTAATTGTAATATATTAATTGCTCAAGCGGACCACGAAATTAGTGAATTTAATGATTTGAAATGAAGTATACTTCACTAAAGCTCTCCGTGGCCATTTCATTTGTCGTCGAGAATCCAATCCGATTACACGACATTTGAAAAATGGAAGTTGCAGGGATTATGAGAGTTGGGTTCTAGATGATCCCTATCAATTTTATCCCAAACGGATTAACATGCGCAATGTACAAAACGTGAGGAAGCTATAATGCCCACCCTCTTCGCACGCGTTTTTCAAAAACACCACAACACCGGGTATATGACTTCTGCTGTTGCGAACCCGACAAAATTTTTAAAAATTAGCTTGTTCGGAAATTTATCTACTTCAAGTTTAATGAAGAAAAAGGAAGCCTATTTTATTTGAATAGTACGATGGATAGAATAATGATTTTTTAAAAGTGTTTTTGTCGGTATACGCCGCGCGCGCGCGTGTGTACTTTTTCGAATGCATTCACACCGTAGCTGGAGTGCTAAACCTAGGACTTTTATAATTCCCCAGTAAAATAGGTAAATTTGGATTAACAAATACAAAAATTTAAACCTCGAACTTTATAATGCAGATAATTGTAAACATACTGTAATTTATTGTAATGTATGACTTATATTAAAAGGATAAGCCGATTGTTGAAATAAAAATTCTTGAACAAAAACAAGACTTCGCAATCTGCTAGAACGAATGGCCCAAACGTGACGACAAATATTGCCGAGGAAAAACAAAAAAGCTGTCTTTATGACGATTTGCGCAAGAAGAAAAGTTGCCTTAAGTTCACGTACAACAAACAAACTCCAACTTTAAAAATAAACAACTTAATAACGTTAAGTTAGCTTCGTGAATATTTTATGACCTTTTACATTAGTTATTTAGAATAATTTTAGGATAAATCTCTTACATTGCTACTATCTCCGATTTGGTTACTTAAAATTAAATATACAATCCATTATATTTCGTGGTCCGATTGACCGATTAACTTCTTTCAATTAATTAATCTTTATGTAAGGTATTGGTTAGTATCATTATACATTATTTCAAATAAATACAAAAAAGATGTGGAGAAATGGTGGATTTTGGTTGGGTCATAGAAAAAACATTTATTTATTTTGTTTTTAACAAGCTGCAACTAGCGTATGTGTAAATTCAATAGCTAAGGTATTAATTGTCAACATTTGTCAAAATGTTTAAAGAACCTCATACATGTTCTTAATAGCCCCATGAAATTAGTCAAAAGGGTAAGACTTAGACAACTTTATGGTACAATAAGGCAGCTTTATCGGCAATTTGATAGGAGTATCACCGGGCTTTTACCTTCGACCGAGAAACCTGCAAGCTGTAAACTTGAATTGTCCTTGCCTCGTATATCAGTTTTACACACATCTTTCCCGTATTGTTCGTCCAATTATTTAACATTTTCTATTGTTTGATTTCAGTCCAATTTAACCCATCTTGGAAGGAACCAGTACGTACCAGGCGTGGGCATGGGGATAGCGAAATGCCCCTACGACCCGGCTGACAACAGCACGGCCGTCTGGGTCGAAAAGGGAAACCCGGGAGGCCTCCCGGGGCTCTACTCGGGTACGAATGCAGAATTTACAAAAGCCGATACGGTAATATTCAGGACCAACCTTCACAACTTTACGACAGCCAGGAAGGAATATACTTTCAAAAGGACCATCAAATATGATTCAAAATGGCTCGACAGTGAGTACTTTTTATTTATAGTTTAATAAAAATAAAATCAAGCTCAACCTTTTTGTTTTAACATAAAATCGAAAGTCTGTTCATTGTGAAAAATTGTAAAAATATATGGATGAATTTATAATTTCTCAGATTTCTTCTCCGATATATACGTTTGATTAAATTCACGCTTTTAAGCGAAACCAATTCTCTGGCGTTCATTACGTTGATAATTTATATGATAAAATTTTATGCAATAAATAATGGGTAACTTTCGAAGAAAACTTGCTTAATGTGAACCAGAAAGATCATTCCAAAAGTTCTATTAATTAAACAAATTGGATATTATTTAAAACACTCGTTTTTGTGTTTTAAAACGTTTTGATGGTGACAAAACCTAACTCAGGGGGTTACTTATGCTTGATGCCACAGACCGGCTAGTTTTGTAAGTCAGTATTTTGTAAAATTATTTTTATGCTACAATTACGTCTTTTTCAAAAAAATTTTATTATATTCACAATCACTAATAATCAAAACTATTTCTAAATTGTTATGTATGTATGATGACAACACCAAGTGATTTACCACTTGATACATTTACTGTTACATATTATATTTACAATTATTACTTTTACATATTATTGTAAAACCAGACCTAACAATTGGTACAACAAAAAATTATCGATGATGAAAAATACAAAAGAAAAGAAAAAGAAAATCATTTCTACAATGTACAGAATATTATTGTATAACCACAATGTTGAACAACCTGATATAGATTTTTTAATAAAGCTAGGACATAGATTATCTACGATTAATGGAGAGTACTTTATGACTCTTGTAATTTCCCTTGGAATTTTATATAGAAACTATTAAAACAGTATTTTAAGGTGGTCTGACACATAGTCAACTTCATCCAAAAAGTAAAGGACAAAAATTACTTTATTTAATTGATGTAATAAATAAAGAGAAACAGTTGAAAGAACAGCCTGAGCAGGTGTCATGTAATCAAAGAAAACAAATGAAACCCAAGGTGGCAACGTAATTGCGAAAAATGCTACTGTTTAACGCTGCAAAAAAAGAAAACTCCTAGTTCTTTTTCCTCTAGGGAAAAGCGTCTTCAATCATTTCTACGGCCTGTGGTAACCGTAATTCAAAAAGTTTGTCTGCGTCTGTAAAGAAATATAAAAATAAAAGCTCAACCGAGTCAAATTCGCGGAAGTTTACTGATCGCTGCATTCCGTGACAAGAGGCCACAAGTATTTCCCGCATTCAGTTTGCACCATTTGCTCTTATTTTTTAATATAAAAAAATTTTGCGGCAAGTTTGTCAGTGTACACATACTTAAGATAATAATTGACGTAACTTATTGAATATATAAATTTAATCTAGAGATCCACGAATGGATTATAGTTACAGAACTAGAAGTCAGATCATCATAGATAACCAATCCTAACTACAGTTAACCATTTTCTACTTTCTCCTCTGCAAAGCTTTGTTATCTGATCTGCGAAATGCATAACATTTCCCAACTGATTAAAAGCTTTAGATATACAAAAATGCATGCTTGACCAAAATATACTACAAAAATAGGAAGTTGTGAATAAGATACGATCGAACTGCAGATAGTTTATACATTCCTGATAGTTTATAGTTGTATTCAGTTTATATACATCAGATAATTTATATATTTTCCTGCAGGTATTTTTTATATTCTGAAATAAATTTCTTCATTCTTTTGTCAACAAGTTATTCAGACCAAAAGGTACTGCTTTATTTGAAATTGTATTGTATTTGCCTTTTTTCTTTCAATTTATTTGTATTCCCTTAATACAGTAATCAGTTCCGTCCTACAGATACATTTTGAGTGATATTTGATTTTTCCTAGAAAATTTATCTGTGCTTAATATTTGAAAAGTTACACAGCAACAACAAATCAGTAAAATCTGAAATAATTGGCATGTATATAAATTTATTTTGCTTAAAATAATAAATTTTTGATATTACGTGGTTTTGCACAGTTTCTATTTAAAACAAAAGCCGACATAAGACAAGAAAAACGTTGAAAAACCTGGGTAAATTGTAATTCTCTTTTTACTTCTCATTATTCCCATCGTAAAAAATTTAATGCCTTGATTAAAGTAGAATTTAGGGGGCGTACGATGTAGAAATTCGGCGGGTTTACGTGCCGGCGATAACAGTTTGGAATCCTTCGAGCTGCTGCAATAAAGCGTTTAATTGAGCTTTTAATTACCTTATTAATCCATGTTCGCCCTAGGATCTGATATGGGAAGGCCGGCTGGCGTTTAAATTCGATGCAGATCTCTGGCAGATTCCGTCTTTTCCCCTTTCTGGGGTTCTAATCTTAGTAAGTTTTTTTAAATACACCAGTCCGCTGGTATTATTTCATTTCCTGTTAACTTATCTAAACGGAAACTTAATCTTGCTGACACCTAAAAGGGTTGGTGATTACACCCGACCTCCGAGGCTCCCTTTTAATTTCGCTTTCTCACAACATTATTCAATAATTTAACACCTCCTTCTTCCGCGTTTACCGATTACAATCGGGGTTGTGTTTATTTTAAATAAAAGGTTTGACTCAACATGGCACTGATAACGAGAAACATTGATTGTTTAAAATTTCACATTACATGGTAATATTTTCGAAACCATTGAAACTTATTGATTTTTTTCAGCAGTACGTAATATTCGAATGAAACGTATAAAATAATTAGCTCGCAAATATTAACTTTTATTGTGTTAAAAATTTCACACAATTTTAAGATGGGTAAACCGATCTTACATTCTTATTTTGAAACCTAAAGCAAACTTGATTCCTCCTATTGCACACCCACTGTTGCAAATAATTACAAAGCTTAATATATTTATTCGTTTTATGTAAGGTCTTGGTTGAGATAAAAAATTCACGACTGGGATTCGAACCCACGACCTTCGGCTAAATACGCTGCTGCTCTAACCGCTTGAGCTGTCGTGACTTCGAACCTCTCCATCTCAACCTCAAGGATTCGATTCTCAGCGACTTATGAAGTGGCCACGGGGAGCTTTTTAGTGATGTGATACTTCTTTGACTTATTAAATATTAATCTGTTTACGTTTTAGTGGTCAATTGACCAAGTTACTTCTTTCAATTAATTATTCTTTTTATGTAAAGTCTTGGTTGACATTAAAAAAAATCAGTGTCACGAGGGGGATTCGAACCCACGACCTTCGGCTGAATATGCCGTTGCTCTACTACTTGAACTATCGTGGCTTCAATCCACTCGGACACCAACTCTCCATCACGAAAGCTGAATAGTAGAGCAGCGGCGTATTTAGCCAACGGCCGTGGGTTCGAATCCCGTTCATGACATTGACTTTTTTATCTCAACCAAGACCCTACATAAAAAGAATAATTAATTGAAAGAAGTAACTTGGTCAATTGACCACTAAAACGTAAATGGCTTAATATATTTTTTCCCCTTCAATGATGAACCTCCATGGAACGCGTAAAACTTACTGTAGATAGGAAGATGAAATCCGTCCTTTGAGATCAAAATTCCAACAGATTATGAATAAAGAGAGAATAATGACCCGGCTCTGGAACATACATACTCAAATTGAATACCAGCAGTTTCCCATCCATATGGTTCTCCTCTTGGAAAGGTTGCAATAAATGGCTATTTAAGTTTATAAAACGTAAATCAATCACAATTATTTCCATATATTTCATAAAATCTCGTAAATGGCATAAAAACACACATATTTGAGTCACGATTGATAGCACAGTGATTAATCGTTAAACGTGGTATTGAATGGTCGTCTATTATCTTTTTTTTATTTTTTTTTATTTGGTACCTTGTCTGTTATCGTACTATCGACAGCTAAAAGTTTTCCGGGGTGAACCCTTTCGGAAATACCTCCCAATGGAGAAGTTTTTGATTTTCCAGTGCAGAAAAATTGGCCATTCGTTCACGGCATAGCGACCACAATGCGGATAAAGGTTCTGAGGTTAAATATGACAGGCCTTTATAGAAAATGGTGGACGTTACCCGGGGTTGGAAATGGTTTGCGATGGGCCGGTCTTATTGAATAACTTCTTTTTCGGCTCACTGATCTCAGGAGTTTTAATAGAAAAGCCGAGAGCTCTTTCTTTACCCCTCGGCCGAGAAGAAATGGTTCGTATGAAAGTGTGAGCCCGGATCATTAGATGGGGCCGCTTCCATTTTCACGATCCGGCTTGATAGTGGAAATTTAGCCTCCCCAAGATGCTCATACAAGCGGAGTTCGCGGCTTATACCAAGGTGGAGTTTGGGTAAAAAACGACTGCCCGGACCCAAATATCCCACCACTTATATTAAGTCGGCCCCGCTGAAGGAGACACAACTTCTCTCCTGGGGCCCACATGTTACTCCCACACGATCTCTCTATTTATTTTATACAAAGCCACTCCACTCACCTCAAGCTTATATGTATTATGTTACATGTAAACCTCCCTCTTTTGGTTTAGCGCAAGTTCTTTCACTTTAAAAACGATCCCCTTCAATTTCCTCCTTCTCCAATATCATGTTTCAATTTTCTTTTAACTTCCATTGAAATTAAGGTTTTGTTTATCCTTTCTTTTAGTATTAACTGATTTTTATTGGTATTAAGTTTTAAAAGAGGGAAATTTATTACGAGATGGCAGTTAGATAAGTAAAAAGAAGCCCTAACAACTTTACCATTAATATAATTGTAATTTTTTCTTAACAAAACATTTAATAAACGAGCATAAAATTGAGCTACCATAACGTCCAATCTAGTTTGAAATTTAAATCTCTTCCTACTCAGAAAGAAACAAATGACTTTGGGAAGTTACAAACATTTTAAGCGAATGGCCCAAAACTTTAATTGTTCGACCAACACTTTTTGGATATTGACAGGAAGGTGGCCTGAACAAACGCATGTAGACATCAGAGACCTGCAAGTACCTTTATGCAAATAAAGTTGTAAACAGAAAAAAAATTGAAAACACGTGTAACAAAATT